AAAATAGCTATAACAAAATATGGCCCATGAAAAGTTCAACTTGGGCCTTCCCAGGCCCATCAGGCCCATTGGGCCCTGACTGGCCCAAACCTTCACGTCTAGCCAACTCCTCTTGGTTCCTTCAATATGTCACCTCTTGCCTTCCTAGGCATGATTCCATCACAACATCAACCTCTTCACAGATTAAGCAACTGTGGCATTGAGCACAGCCCATTAAGCATGGAAACATTCATACAGAGGTTAAATGAAGAAGAACAAAGCAGAATAGAGATAAACACACATACCCAACCTTAAACAGAGATTACAATCCACAACAAGAAGCTAACCTAGGGGTTTTTAGCCTTCCATTAAAACAGAACAGAAACAGATATAAAAACGAAAATGCAAGGAGAGGAGAGCAAAACGAAAATGGACAATCTGTATTTCAATCTATATTCTCCAATGATTCAGATACAAAACGTAACACATAAGAGAAGAAGAGAAGCAAAAACATAAAACTCAGCTAAAGAAACCAAAACGTAAAACTGTAGCTACCAAAAACCAAAAGCAAAAGAGAGAAAAACGTGAAATGAATAGAGGAAGGTGGAAAACGCAAATGAAAGGAACAATCTGTATTCAAATGAAAATGGAGTCTCATATTACAACCAAAAAAACTAAAGAAAACGAACAAGAGGGAAGCCAAAACGTGAAAGAACAAAGAAGGAGGCAGCCTCCCACGTAGTCACATCAGATTCTTCAAGCTAGTGGCTGCCAAGTCAGCCCTACCCTAGGCTCCTATGAGCTAAAAAGAAATTAGGCCCCCAACATCTGACCCAAGGTACAATAAAATAGAGTAAAGGCTGAAAATAAATGCTGAGGTGGAAAATGGTGCAGCGGTGACATGACAGATGACGTGGAAGATGACTTGGCAACTCCACTTGAAGTCCAAAATTAATTCCAAGCCAAATAATTATTAAACTGTCCTGAAAATAAAATTTGGAATAATTAGATTCAGAAAATTCAAATTAATTAAAATATGAATTACCGGTCTAATTAAAACCCAAATAAAAAACAGTGCAGAATATAAACAATTAGGCACAAATCACAGATTAAAATAAGTACAGAAATGTAAGAAAATAGGAGAAAATATTGACTCATCAATATATAGTTTCCATTTTTGAATATATATCAAATATTAAAATTTTAAATATATTTCTTATTTTTAATAATTTAAAAATCAGTACACTGATTAATAGATTATTTAAAAGCATGATTATCACAATATTATAGAAATATTTTAGTAGAAATATTTAAAAATATCCAAAATAAATATAATGAAAAATTCTGTGACGTTAAATTATTTTTCCATGTGCTTTAATAAACCATTGTAGCCAGCTCATAATCTTTGGTTATGATTTTACACAGAAAGGTTGCTTTAGCTAATCAATCTATAGATTCTATAGTGAATGACTAATGATCGAAAAGGAGATGAGTTTCATTCAAGCTCGTATCAAAGATGCCTTTGGGAAACACTACCTCGGCCATTAGTAAATCCTTCAAGCAAATTATACTCACATTTCACATAGTTTTTTTTTTTTAACACATAATAATATTAGAGTTTAATATATTTTTATTTTGGGATAATAGAAATATACAATGTGTTTCAAACACTTACAAGAATAACATTTCGTTAGTTCAAATAGTATTAGACTCGATTTTCTTAATAAATATATTAGGTTTGAATCTTGCAAATAAAAGTAACATGATTAAGAAATGAAATCGTACTAAAAATAGTTAGTTAGGTTTTTTAACAAAGATTAATTATTAGTAAAATTAATAATTTTTTTTATGAATATTAAACTAATAGATATTTTATAACAATAGCATGATTATTAAAAAAAACACTTAAGAAAATTACTGTAAACATTAAAAAATATATTACGTAGAATTAACTTCAAGAAATTAGAGGAGACATATTATAATGTGCTCGATTCCTTTATAAATAAAATGTGATGTTGGCTCATGAATTTAGAAACCAACCCAAAAGGAATGGCTTTTCTTTTTGGGCAAATTGAAAATTGGGCCCATGATTAACACACAAAACGGAAGAATATTGGGCCATTTCCATTACCCATTTTGGCCCATTTCATGCTACCATTTCCTCAATCATAATACATGGGCCCATCATAGGATGCCAACTTTGGATCATTTCCTCCAAAATCTTGATCCTTTCTTTACCTAAAATTTCGGTTCTTCTTCTTTTGGAGATATATCTAACTATGCATGTGTTTTGTCGACAAGCAAAAGTTACAAGCTGAAAAGATTTTATTCAAATACTTTATAATATACGTATGTGTCTAAGCTTTTGAATAGGGCTTCCATCCAACACTTAAGTTAGGTTTAACCCTATGTATTCCAAGCTGTGTCTGCAGAACTTTCCCTCATTTCAACAACTTTATTTGTATTCTTGACTTTAACTTTTTTAAAGATATATTATCTACTATACCAAATTTAAAAGACTGATTCACTTGTTACGATAAATTTGTATATAAGATATAGTACATTCCATATCCTTAGGTTAGATTCCGAACGCATGAATCAACTACAAAGAAAGACATTATATTTTAGATTTAGTTATTAAATTGTTATCACTATAAGAAACTTGTCATATAGTGACACATCCTATAGTAATATTATATATATCACTAAAATTATTTTTATCCACACAATAAATACAATATATGTTGATATATTGTTAAAAAGTATGAATATAAACTACAGTAACACAAAATATGTTGTTAAATTTTATTCAAAATCAATATTAAAATTGTGTATAACTATATATCAAATAGATATATACCTACATATATTGTATCTATAGTGATACTCTTTATATATCACTATATGTATCATTTCTTGTAGTGTATGCTTGATAAAAAAATTAGTTTTAAAAAATTCTTCAAAAGTTTTTTTTTTTAACATGATGGGAAAATAATTGGAGAAAAATGTGTAAGAAACAATGCTTTATTTTTTATTTTCTTTTTTAAGATTTTGGATGGTATGCAATTAAATAGCGACTTTTCATGAGAAATCATAATAAAGAAATACTTTTATCAAAGTGAGTGAATCACTTCTTACTGATCGAATGATGCTTTTTCGATTTTGATTTCGATCTGGAAACTTTATGAACGTTATAGGGAGCAGATCATCATAGAGTATAATAAAGTAATGAGATTCATGAAACAAATGGACTGACTCCTTATTCACATGTTTGTATCATAAAAAATAAGCCTTTTATCTATGTGCACGAAAATAAGTGATGATTCTACACAATTTCATGAGTAAAGTTTTAAAGGATAGATTTTTTGGGAAGGGGTGGCGGGAGAGAAGGGTTCAACATATGGGATTTGAATTACTTTTAATTAGGATTCATCCCATATTCCCACCTATCCAAACTTTGTTTATGATTTTAATTTTTATTAATATTTTTTATGAATAAAATAGTGTATGGAGGATAACACCTCTAAAACTTTTAAGTAAAAAGTCTGATTTATTAAAAGTTTTTAAATTAAATATTATTATTCGTTTAAAAAATAAAATTTTAATAATCATAAAAGTGTTAAATCTATATCAAAGAAAACACAAATTTTGACCAACTATTAATAGTAATAGTTATAAAAGATATTAAACTTGTGTAAAATAAATCTCAATCATTTATGACAATAGATGATAACTCATTTTTATTAATATTAGTTAATATTTCAAATAACCATATGACTATTGTACACCAGCTATAGGAAAAGGATGATATGACCTTAAACCCTAATTTTTGTTCGTTCCCCATCAATTTCCGTACCTTTCTTTCCTCGATGCAAGCTACCTGTAGTACTGCGATCATGATCAATTCATCATGAGCAATTAAGAAAAAGAGAACATGATAAACGCTAGAGTGTGCGGGTAGAAAGAAAATTGAAATCAAAAAGAAAAAAATAATATATATAATCAATAAAGTAGTGTTGGGCTCAAGAAAGTATACTAGAAAAAATTTAAAGTTTGTCTATCTTTAATTATTAAAAAAAATCACTATTTATTCATGTAATAAACTTTGATTTTGAGCGTAATAATAGATAATTAGATATACTAGATGAAGAAGTGATGGACATAATATAAAATGTGAAAAAAAATTCAAATCTTAATTTATCTATTTTAAATCATTAAAAAAGTTGATCATTATTTGTTTAGATAATAAACTTAATAATTAATATTAGACATGAAAAATATATTAAAAATTTAAATTTTATATTGATTAAAGATAAAACTAATTAAAAAATATTTAAGTGAGAATCATTCTTCACCATACAAATTAACAAACTTTATTAGATTCAAATTCATCTTCTAATAACTTCTTTATTATAATTTCATAGCTTAAAACATTCCTTTTGCTATTATTTAGGTCATTTAGTTCTAAAGCTTTTTGTTTTTGTGTTTGTTTATGTTGATATACTGTATTTAGGTCATTTAGTTCTAAAATAGTTACCCATTATTTATTTATGTGATAAACTTTAATAGTTAATATATTGGACATAAAGGAATATATCAAGAAAATTTCAAATTTTATATTTATTAGAGATGAAATTAATTAAAAAATATTTAACTGAGAATCATTCCTCATCTTACAAATTAACAAATTCATGTTCTAATAACTTCTTTAGTATAATTTCATAGCTTAAAACATTCCTTTTGTTATTATTTAAGTTTTTTCTTGTGTACTGTATTTACTTATTGTATGCCTAGTTTATCATATTAATTATTTCTCTAAAAATATAAGATAGAATTAAGAGAACTTGTTGAAAAACAACATGGTAAGCAGTCTCAGAATGAATGTTGAGGCATTAAAAAGGCACAAATAGAAGTAACAATTACTTCTTATGAGGAGTATATATAAGGGCATGGCATAAAACAAAAAAAAAAAATGTTAAAATGGCATCATAATCAATATCCCACAATTTCTCCAAATGAAGTACTTAAATATGTGCCATCCATCATCATCAATTCACCATCTTATACCACTTGAGTAACTTATTCCATATCCCCCTCTTGAACCCGTCATTTGAGCTTAATGACTTCAAAACACAAACTAACTAACCTTACACATTAGCAAACAAGAAGAACAAAGAAGACAAGTAAAATTACACCTTCCCACCAATCCTTTCATTATACCACCCCCCAAATTAAGTAATATTACAATTTCACATTAACAAAAAAGAAAATTTTTTTTTAAAAAAAAGTAACCAATATTCTCCTCTAATAAAGTTAGGTTATGATGATGATGATCATCATCATCATGGAGAACTTATATTGTCAAAGATATCAGCCGGAGGAATGAAATGATCCATGGAGAGTCCGGGCACATTGAACATGACGTCATCAATAGTCCAAACCTCCTCCATCCGGGTTCTGCTGTGCTGCATGGAGAGTTCACCGAAGCGGAAGACGGTGGCGATGGAGCGCCCTTGATGCGCGATCATGACCCCATCGACGTCTCTGTAGTCGCCGATGCTGCTCCCTATGGTGGTCTCCCAGTACACCGTATCATTGTCCTGCGTTGGGACCCGCGTGAGGTGTGAGTCTTCGAGGTATATGAGGAGTCCACTCTTTTGGCAAAAGTAGCCGTATAGTATGTGCCTTATCACCTCTGCAGGACCCTCGCTCCGTTCGATCACAGCCGCACGATCTGCGCTAACTTTTAACACGAAGCAATCCACGCTCCCGATTCGATTCTCACCCAGGCATTGTGCGTTCGTGAACAGACTCGCTGTGCTCTTCGGATCCAAACCCTGTCATGTACAATAACGTAACACTAGTTTGTTAACTCTCTTTGATATTAATCAAAATTATAGACCAGGAGGAATTCGTTTACTTCAGGAAATTTTTATAGATTTATTTCATTCAATAATTCATATTTTACATCAAATTTCAACGATTTAACCGTTAAATTTAATTTTTTTAACGTATAGATCAAGCTTGCAAATTTTTAAAAATTTAAAAATTATTTGATATTTTATTTTATTAATTCAAATTAATAATCATAAAATCATTTTATACATTGATTTGAATTAATGAAATGAAGTATCAAAAAAATTTTAAATTTTTAAAAAAAATTTAGATTTAATATATACATTGAGAATTTTAAATTTAATAGTTAAATCGTTGAAATTTGATGTCAAGCATGAATTATTTAATAAAATAAGTATAAATAAATTTACTACTGAAATAAATGAATCCCTCTTCTTTATCACACATGGGGATTTTAAGCTAGGCAAAATTTTCTTTACCTTTATCAAAATAATATACATGAAAAGTATAGGCTTGGGCTAGGAGTTTTTTCTTCAAGAATACTAGTACAACACAATGTCCATAAGAAGTCCAATAAAGGATTAAATGAATTTATTTTGTCATTTTATGTTTTATTAATGCACTTTTTATGGAGGAAACCAGGTGTTCATAAATGAGGGAAGGGAGTGAAACTGATACGTTATCTGGTGGCAAACCAAACATTGCTGAAGAGTGAAACAAGTACAAATGAAAAAGGGAATATTTAGGCATGAAAGCAGGGGCAATAATGCAGTGGGAGGTAAGAACTGTTGATTAAAGTGGAAAATTAAAAAGGAAAAGTTAAAGCAAAAGGATAATTGAAGGGTACCCTTAGCTACCTGCAATAAGTGGCAATCCCAAGACTATGACTCATGAGCTATACAAATAATCATAGGTGACGTCAGCTAGACAGTCACGTGGCATGTAAGTATCCTAATTCTTAAAGAAAACAAGTCCACATTGTAGGGTAAAGCATGGGACAGTTTCTCCATCATTGTCAGCTCGATATTTACCCTTCATCCATTGAGATTTCAATTTGTTTCTCAATCTTTATATTTGTTTGGTACAACATGCTTTGAACCTATGACCCTGTCCCCCCCAAGCCTCGATTCCAACAAATAAAGGATACCCACCAAACCAAAGACCAATCAAATCAACCCAACTTGTTCAAATTTTGTTTGGCATCAAAGAAAACAGTGAACAATAGGTCTTTCATCTTTAAAAATTTTCTCTTTGTACTAAGACAAGTTTTAACATATATAGCAAAATAGGTCTCATTCTGAATGTGCATGCACTCCAACAAATTAATCAAACCCATTAATCATTTCTATATGTTACTATATGCTATGTATATATTATTTAGGAAATTTAACTGAGCTTGCTATAGTAAATGAGATCTCTTTGGTATATGGAGCTAGTAATTTTAATTTGTGATGACTTATTTATTTTTATCTTAATTATATTATTAATTGATGTGAGATCTCTTAGAATACCTGAATAATGCGTCGAAGGGGTCTTTGAGGGCCTTTGGCTGCATGTGTGCCTAGCCAAGGTGTGTGCCGCCACACGGTCTTGCCGTTGCTGCCTGCAACCACCTTGTGGTCACCAACCACCAACTCAAGAGACCACATCCCAGGTAGCATCTGCCAAAGCACAAAGCAACCATTTTCACTGCTTCTTGTCCCCAAACACTTGACATTCTTCCCTGATGAAATCTCTGTCTCACAGCAAATCATCTTCACCATCCCAGTCGCATACATGTTCTTAGTGTCCTTCTGCTGTTTTAGGCACCCTGTGGCAGCCAAATACTGCTGTATAATGTATTTGGCTGTTGAAGTTTCCTGTTTTAAGTCATCACATTAATGGAAAATTAATGTCACCTAACCATATCATACACAAAATGGAATTAATAGTAATATACACTATTTAATTTCTTAACACTCCAACTATAATTATTGTTAAAGTCATCAGATAAGATTATTATAAACTATAAAGTTTTTATTTTTAAGTATTTAAATTTTAATTTGAAATCATAAGTGGTGTCAATGTGATTAAACTCTTGTCAGATTGATTGGTCCGACTAGTTCAACTAAAAATGAGAAACATGACCAGCATGGTCATCAATGTTGAGCTATGGTTCAACTAGTGACTCGGAGGAAATTGAGGTTGAACCTATGATCAACACTTTTCTCACTTAACCAGTATCTTAACCGAGTCTAATTCTGACGAAACTGAGTGGTGTACTAAGAAATAAGATAAAGAAAATGGAATGGGGAGAGAGCTTACAAATGGGGTGTCTTTGATGTGAATGCTAAGAGAGGGATCATGGGCTGAAGGAATAGGAGCCAAGGGGCAGCCCAAGACACCAAGCAAGAGCCTCAAATCTTGTGTCTTGGCATGGATGGTTCCATAGAAAGAGGATGATTGTGAGAAGCTTCCAGCACCAGGTGAGATCTTCTGAGTCCTGAACCATTCCCTTATGACTTCCCAAGAGCTCTCTTTCTTGGTCCCTTCTTCTTGCATTTCAGGGCCAGGGCCTTCCATTAAGGGAGTCAAAGGCTGTGGAGCCCAACTCTGGCGCCAACGAGCTCTAGAAACCATTTTGGGAATGTAAGTGAGAGTCTCGAGAGTAATAATTATTTGGGTGAAGATGTTGAATTGAATTGAATTGAATGCAGGTGGAGATGGTGGTGAGAGAATATTGGAACACAAGAGGGAAAAGAAGAGGTATCAATGTGGATGCGGTTTGGGAGTTAAAAAGAGAGAGTGTTGTTGTGAGAGTGAGAAAGTGATGGGAAGAGACAAAAGCGATGGATTATCTGTTCAACGGCAGAGAAATGACATTATTATATAATACAAACTCGCATGTTGGGCTGTCTATTGCTTTATTCCTCTTGCTTTTGGGACTCGCCCTTGTCGTTACATTTTTATAATGTTTACTTGTTTTTTTATTCTCTCGAGCTACCTATTTCCCATGCCACCACAGGTCCCATCCCACCTTTGATCAATTACTATCTTTATCTAACAATGTAATTTTCATTTTTTTTTCTAATATTTGAGATTTATGTATATCTTATTTTATATATATATATATATATATATATATCAAATAACATCAATGTAATTTTTATCAATTATTACATCATTTAATAATTTTTAATTTAATAATTATTTTTTAAAATTTACTATTAGATAAAAAATTCCTTAAACTTAGATTATATATATAAAATTTTACATTAATCTAAAATGATTTGATACATCATTCATATAATCAAAATTAGCATAATATATACATTTCAAAATATACTAAAATATGAATAGTTTGATTACTTTTCAATTATAACAAAATTTGAGATAAACATATAAAGTAATATGAAGTTATAATTCAATGATTGAATTGATAAAATTCACTTTTAACATTAAATTATTGAACAATTTAATAATTGATAGAAGTTACATCAGTATTGATAATTGTCAAATATATTAATATCTTTTATTTAATTTAGACAATTATTAGAGCATATCTTATATTTTAGAGTTATTTTTTTTTTGTCAAAAATTAATATTTTAATTTTATTCCATTAAGTAGTAGATTTCTTTTAATTTTAGGTGTATTTGTATGGTTTTGTTAATTTTGAGATATAGGGAGGAAGAAACTAGTAGCAAAGGAGTTGAATATTGGGAATATACCGAGAAGGAAGTGCACTCTAAGTGACTTCATGCTCACTCAAAGTGAGTCATCTGTGCGATTCGAACAAATTAACTAAATAACACTGCTGAAACATCATGAAGTACTCGCTCAAGCAAACTAATTGATTATTTTGAACGAGTGGACATCACAAGTCCAATTACAAAAAACCTATTTAAAATCTTATAAATATAGGATTTAAAGGGAATAGAAAAACACTCCACATATTATATATTTTAGAGGGAATAAATGGAGTTGTTGTTGGGGATCGATGTAGTTGAATCTACTTGTTTAAGCGAGCTAGTTGATTGTTTTGAATGAGTAGACATCACAAGTCTAATTACAGAAAAACCTATTTAAAATCTTATAAATATAGGGTTTAGATAGAATCGAAAAAAATTTCACATATTGTATATTTTAAAGAAAATAAAGAGAGTCGTTGTTGGGGATTGATGTAGCTGACTCTACTTCACATAGTTCTTCTTGTTTTTGTTTAAAAAATATTTTTATTTAGTAATTATTTTTCCTTCTATTCTTAATGTCTGTTTTGCCTTGATCGCTCATTGCACGATCTCATAGATTTAATTAAAGTTGGAAAAACCATTTGAAACTACAATCTAAAGAATAACATTGATAATTCTTATTGCTAGAAATAAGATAAGTCTTATTAGTTAACATTTTATACCTCTAATCTTAATGCAAGTTACTTAACAAACTTTACCAAAGAATTGATATTTTCTTTAGAGTTTGTTTGGATGAAAAATTTAAACGGAGTAATTCATTTTTTTTTCTGAATAATATCAAATGCCTTATGATTAAATTCTTTGTTTGGATGAGAAATTTACAAAGAATTTAAAATTCAAATATTTGTGAAATTCCTTAAAATAGTAGGACTTTAAATTCTCTAAAAAAAATAAGGATTTGAAATTCTTCATATTTTTTCTTTTTTTTTATCTCATTTATATATCTTTCATCTCTTTCCTATTTCTTAATTATTAAATATTCAAAACAATTTTTAAAATTATTAAATATAATTTAATATTAATTTTTAAAAGTATTAAATATTTTTAAAAAAAAATTGGATAATATATATTCTTATAAAAATTAATCTTAAATTTTGTCTCTCTCTCTCTAATCACACACACACACATATAAAAATTAATCTTAAATTTTGTCTCTCTCTCTCTAATCGCGCACACACACACACACACACACACACACACACACACACAAAAATTGGCGCTAAGGCCGTGAAAGTGGCGCTGCAGCTTGGGAACTTTTACACACACAAAGATGCCAACAGAGAGTTGGCGCTATAGCTGTAGAAGCTGGTGCTTGAGCGCTGAGTATCAAATATGCAAACCACATAGACAGAAACTTGGGGCCAAAGTGGGGGGCCTAGCGCTTCAGCGTTGTAAGTTGAACTACACCAAAAAGTCCTACAGAGAGTTGGCGCCATGGCTGTGATCCTGGCGTTGGAGTGGTGAGAAATAATATAAATGAAAGAGTTTGGCAGAGAGTTATGGCCATAGCGGTGGCTTTGGCGCTGCAGCTGTGAGTCTTAAGAACAAAATTTTGAATTTCCACTTTCCATTTGAAACACTATAGATTGATTACAAGAAACCCACCTTCAAAATTATACTCTAAGCCACTGGTGCCACGCAGAATAAACAACAAGGTGCCTAATGGATATGATTTACTTCCTAAGGCATGAAATTTGGGAAACCTTTTGGAAACTAACTAAATCAAATTCTTTATTAAACTTCTTGACAGTTCCCTTTCTAACTCTAATGTCAAACTACATAAGTACTATAAAGCCAAATCATATTAGGAGCTTGCCTATTGAAAAAGTAGACCCCAAACATTTCAGCCAAAGTCACCACCCATTGTAAACATCACAAACAACATGGACTCAAACCTCCCTATGAACAAAGATATTTCACACCACACTATCAAACTATCAAAATGATTACAGATCCAACAGCCAAAACAATGCAGCACCACTATAAACAAAATAACAACCTAAAACTTAACACACAATACACAAACAAAACTTAAACTAGATCAGAAATGTTAACACATTCCAAAACATGTCAATCATCAAGCAACATCCACACTGAAATCAAGCACTTATGAACAACAACTCTTAACTACTCACTATTTAAATGAAAATTGAGAATCTAAAAATAGAAAGTAAAACAGAACATGCTAATTTAATGTCTTTAGCTTGACAATCCTGTTTACTCATGGCTCCTTCAAATGTGTGCTGGTAGTGAATCTCTCAACTTCACCACCCAAATAATGCTTGAGCCTCTGACCATTAACTAGCCACGTCCTTCCAGAGGCAGGATCCTCAAGTTCAATTGCTCCATATGATTTGACAGAGTTAATTGAGAAAGGACCTGACCACTTAGATTTAAGCTTCCTAGGGAAAAGTTTCAACCTAATTATCATATCCCAAATAAGAATTTAAAGTTTAATAAAATTTAACTGACGTATCCAAACAAAACTTGAAAACTTATCATATCAAAAATAATGATCGAAATTGAAATCAAAATAATTCAAATTCCAAAAAATTTAAATTCCTAAAATTTCTTATCCAAACGTACCATTAAGGAACTTAGAATTTACTACAAAGGAATTACGGTTAAAATACTTTTGTTGGTAGTTAAATTCTTAAAATTTCTCATCCAACCTTAGTCTTTACAACGATTGAGTGTTTGGTTTACTCTCACGGAGAGGATACATAAATTGGCACACTCACTAAGGTTTTGTTCTTAAGATGCACGTGTTTGGAACTCCTTAGTTTACAGAGATGAATACACTATAGTAGATTTGACTCTATACGCTCTATCTCTAGTTTCGTTGTATAGTGGGCTTGATATCACTCTTTGTCTATCTATATTAAAAGCCAGCCTCTTCAAGTTCGAAGTTGTGATATATATATAGTCTTGTAAAATTTGTCCGTTGCAAGTGTTCGTTGAAGCGGTTATAGTGATTTATGACTAGTTTGATATTTCATTTAATGCTCAGTATCTCGCATTAAATGTTGCTTCCTATCCATGGATATTGCATGAAGTCTTCTTCATTTTGTTGGCAGTATTGTTTGTATTTTGCAAAGGCCTGGGAACCTTTTTGTCCTTTATTGGTTGCGTAGTCGTGGAGCATTGTCCTTATCTGAAAAAGTAATGTAACTTTCCTGACACACGCATGGTTTTTCTTCTACGCTTGGTTTCTCTTTTTCTATTCTCATTTTACTCACTTGATCATGTTAAGAGCTCTTTTATATTCGTAGACGATGCCTGAGTGATCCTTTAAGACTTGATTCTTTAAGTGCCTTTGTGGCAATTTTTGTCTGCGTCTGTTGGTCCATGTGCGTCTTAGGTCATGATTCATCTGAGCATTTTAATGCTTTGGCTTTGGCATCTCATCTAATCAGTCTAGAAGGTAAATGACTTTTATTCCATCTGGAATACTTCTTCGTCTTGTGTTATCTGACGACTGATGATTGTTTTGTTGACCTAAATGTGGTTGACCATTGAGCTTCATTTGATGCTGAGCCAACTTTGTCTTGGTCTTAATTTGCTCTAAATTTTTTTTATTTCTTATATTGCGCTTTGGATTGTTCTTGGCACATCTTCATCTGTCACTTGAAGCTTTCCTCTTTATCTGATTCTGGAGTAGGAAGTGGCACATGCACATGCTCTATTCTTCAATTTTCCTGTACTTATTTTCTGGAACACTTACACGTTTGTTAGAATTAACAACATATATTATATTTGTCTCATTCAAAACCTTGCTGGAAATTTCTTCGTCTAACTCAACAATCTCCTCGTTTTTTATGATGACAAATATTATTGATCAAATTGTTTCTTAACTATAGGAATTTGCAAGTTTGACTCTCCCCCTTAATGTATGCCCTCCTCCTTACTAGATTGTTACTTAATTGTTGGTTAGGATTCATCGTCATATCATACATATATCATGTATAAATTCATTGTCATATTATACATATATCATGTATATATTTGATTAATTTGATGAATGAAATTATGAAATTATTTCTTCTGTTTCTCCCCCTTTCACTACAAAAAAAAACGTAAATTTTTTACGGAAAATTTCTGAAGGATATAAA